AAAACCCTTGCTCTGTCAACAGTTGTATATGAGCTAAAGGCTGGCTGGAGGCTGGAGGCTGGAGGCTGGAGGCTATGTGTTCAACTCTCATTTTCTGGTTTTAACCACAGTACAAACCCAGAATGGCTAACACTGCACAAGCAAAATAATCCATCAACCGGTAGAATCTAAGATAGCAGAGCATAAAAACAACCAAACTACCTAAGAATATTGCAAATACACATGAAAAAAACCTTTTTCTTCCAGAAGGCCTATCATTAAGTGGGACTAAAATCGGGTATCATCGAATCAGACTGCCACAGAAAAGGGAACCCATGACTAGCCATTTTCGTATACTGACTAAGCCAGCAGTATAAACTCCAACTAGAACATAAGAGATTACTACCATCATTGTTTCATTATAATAGGTTATCTAGGGTCTTTAACAAGAACTATAGACTGTAATTTTCAAATGGGAGGAAATGCAAAAAGAATTTAACAAATAAATTGGAGAAAAAAAAACAAGAGAAATATAACCTGAAAAATAAAACAATCTAAAGTCTACATAAACTACTTCATAAATAGACTTTTCTCTGGATCACGTGTCAAACAAACTGTAAATAAAAGTATCAAAGAAATTTAAAAATGAGCCCATTTTCTATTTTTAAAGTTTCAATTTCTTCAACTAAAAATGGGTTATACTGTCAAGAACTCTCTCAGCTATCTATACAATTTTTGTATAGATAAAAATAATATGTCAAGAGAGGTTTATTTCAAAATAATTCTATGGGAAGGGGGATGCATAGGGTAGAACTAGAAAGGCTAAAGTTGATAAATGTTAAAAGTACCTGGGGGAGTAGACAACATACTACTCAGTTTGGTATATTTCAAATTTTGTGACTTAACTTAAAAATCATGTACTGACAGTATGCATTTAAAACAATTCCCTTTAATTTACTAATGAGCTCCATCCACTAAAATGTTTTTTTAAAATAAAAAAGACCAAACCTGACCCATACAATGGAACCAAAGTAGCATAAGAAAAAATGTAAATTACAGCCCCATCTCCATTTCAAGATGTAAAATACAAATACCAACCACAAAGATCTAAAAAACTAACCTAAAATCACAGCAAATCATAGTCATCCTGGTGGGAAATCCCAACACTGCTCCAACAGCCTCCTGAAACTTTCTGACCAAGTTCTGGTCTACTGGTTTGTTCCTCTGAAGAACTAATAAAGACACTCAGGTCAGGCTACTGGAGGACCTACAAAATAAAAAGATTGGGGAAAAGAAGTATATTATTCATTAGAATTGGGTAGTTAACCATTATATCAATAGACATAGTTGTTTTTGAAGCAATAGCCTTTAAATGCCAACTTGCATTTTTAGAACCTGCTTTGAACAGAACTAAAGAACTCAGAAAAAAGAATTGTATAGTGTTTCTAATGACACTTAGACAATACTCCTGAAAACTGTTTTCAAGTCAAACAAAATGATAGCATGTTTAACAAACTAACACTAAGGAAAACATTTTGTGAAAAGAAAAAGCTGTACACATTAAAATTATTTTTCACCTTCATAAGTGCTTTTTGGCCATACTGGGAGACAAACGATAAACATCCTGGAAATTCAGGTTGAACTTTGTCACTGAATCTTAGACAAAGATTTTATTTGGTACTGCCACTCCTTCCTCTCTTCTCAGAGATCTACCTAGAATAAATTAAACCTTTTAGGTCATGCCTTGATCATCATTCCCAGATTTAGTATAATGTCGAAGGACAAGAGTTAATTGGTGATTATTGCTTAACCCATTGTTAAAAGGAATCAAGACAAGAATCTCAAAGCAAAGTGACCTGTCTTTCAATGAAAGAAGAAATTCATTTTCCTAGAGCACTTCCAACTCAAATCCTGAAGCTCAAAACTGAAAGCCACATATAGTTAATTATCAGATGTTACCCACTAAAATCTCAATGTTAGTATACTTCTGACCACTATATTCCTACCTTAACCCCATCACCCAACATAATTAGGAAAAAAACACTCTGGTATTGATCTAGTAAAAATATTTAACAGTAAGAAAAACTACTTCCAAATAAAATGTCAGAAAATATAAAATGGCAAAAGCACAACAGAAGGTAGTTATCAAAGAGCCAGCTGTGGTTGCCTTTGAGGGGGAAAGGCTAATATTTAATTAATCAACCTTCCTAATGTCTTGCATATAGGTATTATCCTACTTAAATAAAAAGATTGTCAAATATGCCCCCATACTGACCCAGGGTATCTTAGACAAAGTTTAAGTTTGTCTAAAAATGATAATTAGAGGTAAAGAGAAATAAATGAGGTAAAGAGAAAGAAATATAAACACTTGAAACCTAAGTTCTCTTTAATACTGTCAACTGGCATGGCATGAAATTTCACGACTTTTGTAAGGTGAAGGACAGGACAGACTGTCTTTCAAGGAGTGGCAAAAATGAGTAGGCAAGGGATGAGGCACTCCCTTCCAAAAGGTAGAACACCTGGGTGTGGCTCATGACCGAAACATAGCTGGTGGTCATTCCAAGAGAATGATTTCGCACTCAAAGGTCTTACACTAGTAGAAGCTTCAAATAGTGAGAACATATTCAAACATGAGCCACTGATCATACAAAGTGGCTTATGAGGAAAAAAAATTCAAAGTAGAGAGGAGTAGATAGGTATTATTCCTAAACATATAAAAATTTACAGCTGAAGAAATAACAATTTTACAAAAACCTTACCAGGCTATAAAGGTAGAATGACACAAAAAACATCTACCAATATATTCTCACATAAAAAAGGCACCCAAACTTTCTATGAGGCAGGCAGTTTACAAATTTTTTAAACCTAGAGAAGCAATCCTTTGAGTTAAGCATTACTATCCTCATTATATAAACAAATAATCTGAAAAGTAATTTGCCCAAGGTCATGAGTTCAAGGTGAACCTGGAAGCAAACACTATTTTCTACACCAGGCTGCTTCCTATAAATTGGGAATGTTGGCATCTCCTCAATCTGTGCAACACTGGTGCTAAATAAAAGAAGTAATTCAAATCATGTTATCTACAAAGGAAACACGTGATGGGGAATTGTCTATAATGGAAGTGTTTTGAGGAGAAAGGCAGTAAATTTAAATGTAAAGGAGCATAACAGTTTAAGGGGTAGAACTGAAGGAGGAAGGAAAATGTACGGGGGGGGGGGGGGGGCCCGGCACCTTGCTAGGAGATTCAGCTCCTGGGGGTGGGAGGAAGAGCAGTTAAGACAGAAGTATAAGGGCTAAGAAGTGAGAAGTACTTAAATGGTGGTTAGCAGTAACACAACAACAGAAAGATATACACAGACCAAAAGACTATAGAAACATAGGCGGGAAAGGGGGCGGGTCCCAGAGTTTGTAGCGTGGAAGGGGTTGGAAAGTTTCATCTAGAGGGGGCACGAAGGAGACCACTAAGTCTGCAATTATCTGACCACTGACCCGTTTATTGTTCTGCCCAAGAATGGTCTCAAAGCACTCAAAGTTGAAGAAATCAGTACGCTGTCCCCGCGTCAGGGATAAACATGCCAAGAAGACCTAGGAAAATGGAAGGTTACTACGGCTCCATCCACAAAGATGGAGTAAATGAAGGGAACAAGATAAGCTCTTTTAACATCTGCGCCAAAAGCACCATGGAAGGAGATGGGACAGGGTAGATGATTCAGGCTAGGCTCTAAATTAGGACTAGAGAGGAGGAATGATGGGGATTTTTTTTTTTTTACTTCTCCCCTTAATAATGAATCCCGATATCTACATAGCTGAGAGATTTGACAGGGAGATAGAATTTGGGAAAGGGAAGGTACTCTAATGACTCTACAGATAGACCTCTCAAACCTTAGCTGAAAAGCCGCGGGAGCTGGGGAAGCTGAGCCCACCTCTGCTCAAGAAAAACTAGGGGTTTCATATGGGTCGTTGCAAGGGCTGAGAAGAAGCAAGCGCGCAAAAATTATGAGATCAGTCTTCGGTGCGTCCCCCTCTCCCACCTTTTAATCTAATCCCCAGCCCACTACCCAATGAACTATCGACTCCCTCCCGCACTTCCCAACCCGCCCACTGCGACGACGAAAACGGAGGCGTAGAGCGATTGGTGGGGCAAAGGCAGGCCCACACGCGGCTGAAGCCGGGGAAATGGTGTCGCTTTAACCGGTAAGAAACAGGATGATCTTCATCTCAGGAAGGATTTACCAGCAACACGACGTTTCGCCATTCGTCATCTCCTTAACGTCTGGGACCTGAGAAGCGTCACAAACGCGGATAGCTAACCCCTTGATACCATGTACTAGCAAGACAGGAATCAGCCTCCGCCGCCATCTTAACAGGCAGACCGACCCTAGTCACTGCCCCCCCACGCCCCAAGGTATCTCCGCCACCGCCGGCGAATCCCACGAGGACGTAACCCTGCTCCCGCGAGAACTCACCGGCTAAGAACGGCAGCACCAGAAGACGCTGCTCGCGCCTCCGCAGCTCCTGCACTCAGCAGCCAACCTCTGCCACCTTCGCGTGATCCCAGGGGAATCTCCACCGGACCAGGAAAAACTGAGCCCAGCCCGTCCCAAACCTCTCCTTCCACCAAACCCGAAATCGCTACGGCTCCGCTCTCACCCCACGCGAAGCGAAAAGCAAATGACGCACAACCTCACGGAGCACTACGGGGCGGAGCCAGTATGCCGCCGCCGGCTCCCGCATGCGCTGTGGGCACTATCGCGATATTACGTTCAGCCTCGGCGAGACCTTCGTAATTCACTGCAGGATACCGCCCGCGCCTCGCCTTTAGGAAACACGAGATCTCGCGAGACCAGATGCACACTCCTAAAATGGAGAAAGGCGGAGCTTCGTGAAAATGACTGGGAGTTTTTCGGGGAAAGGGAGGAAGCTCTCGTCCTTTAGGGATCTCGCTTACCACGAGGTTTCCGACTCACTGCGGAGCTTGCTACCAAACCTCGCGATGACACAGCTCAGCGCCAAATCTCGGCCATGTCTTGAAAACTACCTCCGCCCCCGATTTAGGTGTCTGGAGCCTGCCTAGTGCTTGAGAAAAATTTAAAAAGTCAACCTGTTTATTCTCACGCTTCCAGCAGGGCTGTACCAATTAACCAAACTCCATTCTGAAAGCGAAAAAAATGGGTTCCCATTGTTACCTGCCTCGAGGAATAACGTGCTATTCTTAACTAACGCATAAAAGATGTTCCATATCACAATAAACACACAAATGAAAACAATGACACAACAGTTTTTTGTTCAAAACATGGGGGAGATTTTAAAGACCTCTAATATCCACACTTCTTCCTTCGCCGCACTGCAGGCTAACCTGAATCCATCTTCTCACTAAAAGCGCGTATCATTAGTTCTACCTCCAGAGGCACCAGTTTTAACTATCGAGGCTTTCTTTACCTTATAATAACCAAAAAGACCCAATAAAGTGGCTTTCTCCAAACAAAGGCGTCTGCCCTCAAAAGCAAATTCAAGCTTGGGGTGGAGAGAAAGGTGCTTGAAGATTTTAATATGGCAGTTTTTGCATGCCTAACCAACAATGTTTCTCCAATAAATCTCAGGATCCAGTCTGGCCCGTTTGTAGGCTTTTCCATTCTAATGCATTGTTCTGTCTATTCTAATTTAAACATGCTTCCTTCAGAGTACAGTTTTATAGTACAAGCACCCCCATCTTTAAAAAAAACCTCGGTTATTCTTAGCCATCCCCCCTTCATAAACTTTAGAATCGTCAAGTTCCAAAAACTTAGTATATTTATTGGAATTGCATCAACTGCATGAATCAATATAGAAAAATGAATATTATTACAAAATTGAGCCTTCCTATTCAGAAGCATATTCCTTCTCCATTTATGCAAATGTTCTTCCATTGTATTCCTGAAAGTTTTACAGTTTACTTCCAGATATTTTTTATTTTTCTTGGGATTTAGACAGGGGCTTTTTAGTATTAAATTTTCAAAATGTTCATTGTTTATATACAAGACTTCATATTTGACCATCCACTTTTGTAATTAGAAAAATGAAAATATGCTCAAATATAGTCGTAAACAGTAAAATGCAAATGAAAGCAACGACATGTGATTTTTACTATATAACTGAAAAGATATAAAGATTAGTAATTCATGTTGGCATAGCTATGGAAAAATAGGCAATATCGTACTACATTGGAGAGTGTAAATTATGGCCTTTGAGGAAGGGAATCTAGATAAATCCATCAAAATTTGAAATGCATACACTCTTTGATTCTGCAATTACTTCTCGAAGAATTTCTCCTACAGGAATACCTTTGTACATGTGCTCAAAACATACACAAGCCCATTCATTATTGCATTACTTGCAAAAGCCCCCTCTGCCCCAAAGAAGACAAGCTAGTGTACAACAATCAGGAAACGGTTAAATAAACTGTAGTCAAAGCATACAATGCAGTGCTATAAAAATGGGACAAATTTGAATTCCGTGATATATACTAAGATATATAAAATATAGTTTAAAAATTAATGCAATGAAACAAAATGCATGTGTGTCCAGCAGCACCATACATATCAGAACACACACACACATACACACACATCAGGACACATGCACGCGCACGTGCGCGCGCCTTGTAGTGACCATGAAGCTTGCCTGCTCGCCCCTCACCTTCCTTTTCCTCTTGAGGCCGCCTTCCTCCAACCCTTAAGAGAAAAAAACTGAAGGCTAGGCCTTTACTCCCTCTCTGGGGCCACTTGGTCAGGGGCAATGGCGGTACCTCGCATCCCCACTGTTGGCCGCTCTCTCGCGCGCTGTTCGCTGCTTCCCCGCTGTCCTGCTGTCCCCAAAGATGCAGCTAGCTCTCTGCTGGAGGCCGCTGAGGACTGGGGGAGGGGAGAAGAGGAGGGGTTCGAGGAAGGTGGCTACTGCCGCCTGCCTGTCCCCTTTAGCAGCCTTTCCCAAAGGCTCTCCAAAGCCGCTACCTCTGAGCCTCTGAGCTAGATCCCGTGGGAACTGCCCCCTACCTCGAGGAGTCTAAAAAGGCCCGTCCCCCCCAGGTTCGGGGAGAGGGAGGGGGTACTACGCTCACCTCAGCCGCAGTGGCTCAGCGAGGCCTGCAACAGTGTGCAGGGTCTGAGGCCAGTAGAAATCTTGTGCCCCCCCACCCAACCCCCTCCCTCGCCCTCGGCTTAAAAAGCCTCCCCACCCCCACCGCAGCTCAGCTCACACTGGATCTAAGGCTCCTCCTACCACGCGATTAGCCCCGCCTCTGTCCCTTGAGAGGGTGCTCCAACTCCCTTGGTGGTGTATTCTACTCACCTAACGGAAGACCTTGCTGGAGCTACTCATGGCCCAATAAAGGCCACCATAGAGGATAGTAGTATCACTAAGGAACTGGAATTTGATTCCTCTACAATGAAAATCCCTGAAGGGATAAAAACTTAATATGCATTTTAAAAATGAAGGAACGGAGAGTATAAGAGGGCAAGATGAGACACATTGTGGAAGGCCAGAAAAAAGGATGAGAACCACAATGCAAATCTCCAAAGGCGCATAGTACTCCTTCAAACACTTCTCCTTTGTATTAGGTGAGGTGGTACTGTGATTGGAAGACACTGTAAACTGTAGATGATCTACATTCATAAATGTATAGAAAGAAAAATGACCTGGTGGGAGATGACCCTATTAACTGCTATTCGTCTGGGATAGAGAATGAAATTGGAGAGTAAAAGGGTGGGGGAGGGGGCATTGATTTGCAACTCTGAATGCTTCAATAAGGTTTGAATTTTAACAAATGAATTAATTTGATATTTAAAACAAAAATGGAAAGGCGTAAGTGAGAGAACCCTTGAGACATTAATTTCAATATTACAGAATGGTGCAGTTTTCTGTACAATCTAAGAAGATGCATACAGGGCCCTTTGAGGTAGTCTCATTGTAAACTCTTAACAAAGATGTATTTCGTGAATGAGTATTACTCCATTGCAAGGCTAATTATTTAATTAATGTCCTATGTTGGGGTCTTATTTATTATTTTTAAAAACAGACTTGGCTTCTATCATAGCGGACTTCGGAAAGAGCAGCCATGGTTCTGTGCCATCCATCCGTCACCTCAGCTTCCAAAAGGGCTACAAAATAATCCAGATGAGCATATCAACTTTGAACAGTAACTGATCAGACAGCTGTGTATCTCTGCCCTATACAATAGCACACAATGGACTTACTTGAGGTCTCTGAGGACAAAGAGGCCATAGATTCACCAAGAAAAGGGTGGAGACACACATCTATGCCAAAAGATGCTGATTAAAATCTTTGTTGTGTTGAGGAAAACCACTGCCAAAGATTGACCCCCCCCACCTTCCTTTTGCATATTAAAAATGCTTACAGAAGAGAAAAAAGAAAGAACTATTGGTAGGAACTTCAATATAACTAAATTTATTTCTAAGACGTTTCCAATGGTGATGTTTGTAGAAAGGGAGTAGCTAGGATCAGAAGGTTACTCTTCCCCCAAACAGAAAAGCTCTCTAGAAAAGTTTCAACAGGTAGTCTCGTCTGAAACGGATACAAATTCCGGTTTATTGAGAATACTTCTATGCCATCACTCCATTCATTTAATAATCCTTTTCATTATATGTGGGGTGCTGGGCTGGGAGAAGCAGCTGGGTACCTGGTTGAGCAAGTCTTGAACCCCGAACCATTATCTGGACGGCAGGTGTTCGGCTTTTGCCCCCAGGCCCTGGTTCTTTTAGTTCAGCTCTCCACAGCCCCTCACAAAGAGAGATCTATGATCATCAGTCACGAGGAACAGTGCCTCAGGGTCTCCTACATGTAGATGAGGTATCTGACCAAGCCAATAGGCCTTATCTGCTGCCAGACCCTAACCCACCCTGAAACTGTATATAAGGGCTCTATTCTGGAGAAGTAAAGGTGCATATGAGAATCATCCTGGTGTCCAAGAGTCTCTGTCGCAAGAGCTGTAACACTAGAGCTGTAACACTTGGGGAGAAATCTGCTCTCCCGGAACGTTCCTGGGGCACCAAGCTGCTTCCTTGCCAGCTAGCCGGATTCCTATCAGCCCAGCCCCTGCCCGCTTAGCGCTGAGAGACAGGTGCAGCATCTGGGAGTGACCAAGCGGTGACGGCAGAGACTCGGGCAGAGGCAGCAGTGGGGACAGGCAATCTCTCCTCCCTGCTCGCGCTCTGTACCCTTTGGCCCAGACCTCTCACACCAGGCCTGGCAGGAGACCAACGGACAGTGGAGATGCGGGCAGAGAGGTAGAGGCAGAGACGGTAGCAGACCCTCCCTGCTCTCACTCTGTCCTCAGCCGGGAGATCATCGTGGGACACCCTCGAGAACCGAGGACCCACAATTATAGGTTCTGATCTCTTACAGCATCTGTTTTCATTCTAATCACTCATAGTGTCCATTCTTAGTTGTAACCCCTACCTTTCTACTATTAATTTCTGAACCCTGCACTAATCATCCTAAAATCCCATATGTCCTACAGCCTTAGTTTACATTTAAGTCTGCAACAGTTGCTAGTTCTTTTGCTAACTCCATTCCTCCAATATTAATTTCAACTAGTATCATTCCCCCACATATGTTTTGATTTTTCTTATAGTAGAAAAATGTTAACTAAATATATGAAAGCATAGAGAAAAACATTAAAAATTTGACTCGTACCACCCAGAGATGACAATGTTTTTATATTATGCTTGTTTAACATTTGTCTACATATTACATGTAATCTACCTAGTTATAATGAAAATAACATAGTAAATTATTACTGACTTAGTGAATGTCATAGTATTGAATATTTGCCTATAAGATTTCTAGGTTTTTTTCCACCTTCCACGGGAGTACATTTATTTATTTACAGGACCCAGGAAAGGATAATCTATATAGGAAAAAAAAGAAATCACAAAGTCTTCCATCAGTATCTGAGAAGTGGTCCAGGGTCTTTTATTTCCATAAGGATGAATCTCCCTAAGTTTCTCAAGCTGCTACCATCCATTTGGACCCAAACAGCTTGTCTTGCAAGTTCTTGGTTGGCTTCTGATTTCTGAGTAGACCCTTGTCACCCTGGGCCAGCTCCTTGTTTTAAAGAATTTCATAATTGGCAAGAACTTCCTTAAGGGAGAGGACACAAGGATGGGGTGAGAGCAGAAGAACTTGTTCCATTTGCAGCCTGAAATCCTCTTATTGGGGACCACAATTTCAAGGAAGTCATTAATCTTGTAATACTTAAAGATGCAATCATTGGTGGTGCTGAACATTGGCTTTCCAAGCCAAAAATGTGCCTGAAGGTCTTGAGCCATCCACCCCATCTTTTCTATCAGAGGGGACTTCAGTTTATCACCTATGATGATGCGACAGCCTTTGCAGTCAAAATAATGCTTGTCATGGTTCATCAGTGGCACACCTCCATGAGGAATGGCATACTGATCCAGTGGATCTCATCAAACAGCTTGCTTGTTACTTCTTTGCAGAAGATACTCTCTAGGTAGAGGAGTAGGTTGTTTGTTATTTCACTTGATTCTGTGGTTACATGTAACCCTCCTATACTTCTGGACACCCTCATTGGTAAGACAAGAAAGCATGTCCAGCATCCTAGTACTCTGAATGTATTTCACTGTGGGAAACCAGCAAAATCCAGCTTATACAGCATAGCCACCTGTATGTGGACACCAAAAGCCTACCAGTGAGTAACATATAAGTGGTGTTTGATGAGATCACATATACGTCTTTCGTGGACTGGGATAAAAACAAGCATAGCTTGTTATGTCAGCATCACCTTTTAATCTCTGAGAGTTTCTTGATAAGGAAGATGACTGTTTCTCCTGCTTTGCACAAAGATTCCTGGGCCAGATGCTGAATGGGTACTTCTTGAGCACATCTATGAATAGACTGTTGGAAGCAGTAAATAGGTGACTGAGAAAAATCCAGATACAGATACTGTCCATTCCTACTTTTCTCTTCCAGAGGATTCCCTTCTTTTTCAAGATTCTTGTATCTCTAAGTGTTCTGTTCTTCACCATAAAATCCTTCCAGGTCAGCTCATGGGGGTTAGAAAAATGCTTGACTATTTGATTGTTGAAGACCCGGTGGACAGTTTGACACTGAACAAAGTTTTTGCTTGGTTTGTTCACACATTCAGTAAAAGTTCAAAAAGTTCCAATCCTTGGGGTTTTTTGTTTTGTTTTTGTTGCCACTGTTGTTGTTTAGACCTTAAAGTTGTTGATCAGTAGTGGTGTACCAATGTCAGTGACCCATTTCCTTCTTCCTGCCATGGTTCATTGGTCCTCTGGGGTGACCAGAATGCCAGGTTCCTCTCAAATTTCACTTATTCTAGCCTCTGGGTCCCACTTGTGTCTGATTGCTACACTATCACTTCATGCTGTGAGCTCACAAAAGCAGAGAGGCCCTGCTCCCACCTCTTTCCTACTTCACTGCTTGAATAGTGGAGGGAGGACGCTGCTAGCTATCTCAGTAGACTAGCCCACTCTCCTGTTTCTACCACTGTTATGGCAACATGAAGGATTTCTTCATTTGGTGTATATTTAACCTAGCTTCTCCCTCTCCTTGTATTTGAAAAATTCTTTCCTAAATACATGCAAATTCATGATTACAAAGCATTCTCTGCAGATGTCATGGTTAATCTCGATTGTCAACTTGATTGAATTCAGAAACATACTTCCAGAAAATTCACAAAGCATAGTTCTGTGAAAATTTGGGAGGATGTTTCTAGAGAGGAAAAACTAGAGGGAGGGAGTCACGGTGACAGATTAGGAGAGAGAGGGAGAGAGAGAGAGAGAAAGAGAGAGAGAGAGAGAGAGAGAGAGAGAGAGAGAGAGAGAGAGAGAGAGGGAGAGGGAGAGACATTGAGAGACTAAGGGGAGGGAGAGAAAAGGGAGAAACAGGGTTGGAATGGAGGGAGGAAGAGAGAGAAATAGACTGCTCTAGGGTGCTTTTGAAATTTTCTATCAGTGTGTCAAGCCTATAGAATGATATAGCCCAGTTTCAGGATTGGCCTTTCTCCCAAGTTTAATCCATTCTGGAAATTCTCTCACAGACACCACAAGAAGTGTACTTTATTGATCTCCTAGGGAATTCTCAGTTTGATCAAGTTAAAAAGTCAAAAGTAACCATAACAA